AAAAAAATTTAAGAAAAAACTAATGATGTAATATATGGTGATTAACATAACAATAAAAAATAAAATAAATAAATAAAAATCTTTTTTAAAAAATTAAGTAAATAAATAAAAATATATGGTAAGAAACATCTCAGGAAATTGTTGTATATAATAATTCTCTTGACCTGGAGATACTTTCACCTAATAATCAAGGTCTGCATTAAACATCCTTCAACTTCTCATCACAAGCCATTCCTTGTCAAACTCATGGCCCTGCACTCACTCCCCCTGAACATCTCCTCTAGCCAAACAAGCCAGGTGCCAGGTTCCTTACACACAGCCTACTAAATCTAGCCTCCAAGGATTTGTCTCCACCCTTCTCTCCATCCAGAGACCTTATTGCTCTCTGGTCCACCAACCAAGCTCCACAACTCCCTTCTGAGTTGTTCATTTCCATCACACTCAGTGGCAGCTCAACCCTCGCATCCAGGGATGCCACCCCCACTGTGCCTACACTGCCCCCTCTTCCCCAACCTTCTCAAGTCTTTTATTCAGGATGCAAACTAGATCACTGTACACTCTACATAGTTCCACCTTATTTTACTCATATCACCATCTGCGTATGTACACATATACACGCATGTCCTGTGTGAACATTACACACACACACACACACATACACACACACACAAAGTATGAAGGGAGGCAGAATGGCATAGAGTCTACATGAGCAGGTACCAGAACCAAACAGCCTGGGTTTGAAAACTGACTCTACTACCTACTAGCTGAACAAACCACTTACCTGTTCTACCCCAATTATTCCCAGCTATACAATGGAGGTAATAGTACTCTACTCCCTAGGGTTGTTTCAAACAATAAATATGTTCATACATATTAAAAATTTAGAATAATTGTTGGCATATAGCTTTGGTTCTATTTACATTTTGAGATATCCTACATATGCTTGTTATTTGTTTGTTTTTTTCCACCCCAGACAACAGCCAGGGTTGCCAAGGTGACAGATGTCACTGTCACAGGTTTTAGTGCTCAGAAGGTACTTAAGAGATTGGCTGCTGACTCCCCTGGGATCCTAGAATTTGGGGGCCAAAGAAAAGCTAGAGATCACCTAGTCTGCTTTCGTCAGTTTTACATATAACAAAACTGAAACCCAGAGAAGTGATGTAACCACGATTTTGGGGACAACACGAGATGAATCAGGTGCACAGCCCAGATCCTCTGACTCAGAATCTGATGCTCTCTCATCCATATTCGACATGTCATTAGAATCCATATTTTCTCAACCGTAAGCCTCCATTTTCTATAAGACATCAATTATTGCCAGGAAGGAGGCACGCTCTTTTACCTTATTGATACCCATGTAGGAATGGGGTGCCAACCAAAGCCAAGTCAGGTCCAATGGCCAAGGTTGATTTCTTTAGGACCTCAGAGTCGCAGGTTCTATATCCAGAAAATGGTACTAAGACTAGCACCTACCTTTATAGAAGTTTTATGAGAATTAAGAGGGAAAAGTATGTAGACTCTTGACCATAGCACTTGACACAAAGCAACCACTCAACAAACAGCAACTCCTACTATGAGAATAGTTACCATAACTGTTGATCACCTCCCTGAGTCTCAGCCTCTGGATTCTCTAACTTTAAGAGCTAAAACTAAGGAAGTCCTATGGATCCTTTCCTTTTTAGTAGTCCATGCCCTTGCTCTGCACACTGCTGGCACAGAGGGTCTCTGTCCCTCTTCAGGGAATTCAAAGCACAGGGTCATGGTAGAGAATACATTGGAAAGAAGAGGCCACAAGAGAGAAAACTCAGGTGAAAAAACCGGGCTCCTTCTCTGTTTCATCTAAAGCCAGCCCTCCCTTTACTTCAGTCAAAGCTTCAATCCCCACCTGTCTTCTCTGCTTGTTTACCAGTATAAAACCCACCACCAAAGTAGGGCTCCATCAAAGACCCAGGGGGCCAACATTGCCTGTAATGTAGCCTAAATCGTTTTCCAAAACTAAATTTATTCCCAACATTAAAAAAAATATCAGGAGATGCCTAAATCATCCATTCCGGCTCCTCTTAAAAACCCTGGAGATCTGTGTCCATGTGACACCATGACAAATACCAGCTGACACTCAAGAGGGGCTGTGGACCTTGCCCCCCCCCAGCCCACCTCCCCACTCCACCTCATTTACAGAACTTGAGTGGCCCTCCTAAGAATTTGAGTTCAGTGCCCCCTTCTCTAAAGCTTTCCACAGACTAATTGATATTCAGTGGGTCTTTCATTCTCCTTTTGTCCCCAAGAGAAGATGATGCCAGAGAAAAGGCAAAGAGAAAGAGAGGAGACTTGGGGCAAATGCTCACATTACTTGGCCTTGAAGAATTCTGAACTGGGCTTAGGTCAGTGGAAAAGTGAAAGATGAATAAGCGCATGTCAAAATGCCTGTCAACCGGCTATTTGTGGGCCAAGGTAAGCTTGATAAAAATTGCTATCAATGCAGAAAGGGCAATTAATCTAAAGGTTAGATGGCCATCCCTGGCAGCTTAAGTACACACTGAACTGTGCTGTTATCGGCATTATCAGCAGACACTGTTCTTTGCCTTGGCGTCCCCGGTAATCAAGAAATTTCCCACAGGCTAGGAAGAGCAACCAAGAGAGCCCCTGACAACTTGCCTTTGTGATTTTCAATGGTCCCACTGGTGATAAACAGGAGGCTGAGAAGGGCTACCGTGACAGCGGTCGTCAACACGAGGAGGAAGATCAGGAATGTCTCTAACGTGGAGAAGGTGCGTTTGGCCATCTCTTCTGAGGAAAAGCAGAAATGGAAGAGGTGGAAGAAGACAGAATCGCAAATTAAAACATATATGCTTTGAGCTGCCCAAGCCTAAGACGTCTTAGTTCTTCCATACGAATAGACTATACCAGGGACAGCAAGTACAGAGCATACCTGCCACTACCTCCTTATCCCAAGCCATGGCAGACAAGACCAATCAATTACAGCACTCTTTGGTGAGCTCACATGTGGTTTCCAAACACTTCTTGGCACAGTGCTCATTCTCAAAGCCACCACCCATCATTTGGCATTAGCAAGTAAGCCAAAATCTATTTGTATTCCTTGGCTGCATCATAGTGCTTTCATTTATGGTGATGATGTTATCTGTACAGAGGTCGAGGTTGGAGCACTTCTGTCAATAGGTATGATTGCGCTTGGTTAAGGCTGTCCTCTATGGTCATGGCCTAAGGAAAACCACCTTGTCTACAAGGAAGTGAAACACACAGTTTTGGCCTTTAAACTCCATTTCCTAACCTCCAGTTAATACCTAATGAGAAAACAATATGGAAGAGGAGGTGGCATCTCTGGTCTCAAGCCAGGCATTAAGAAAATCTCCCTCTTCCATAGTCAGAAGGATCCCACGTATTGTGCAAACACTGTCAAAGGATTAGGACAAAGACAACGCCCCTGTGTTCTGCAAAAGCAGAAAATGTCCTTACAGGTCTGTAAGATATTTCAGGAGTAGGAGTCATCGTCACTCAGAGAGACTATAGAAGCTAAAAATCCACATAATGTACCAGGAGAAGGTATAACATGGTAGTTAAAAATTGGATTCTGCCTTCTGACTCCAGAGTCCAGATCTCATTTCTGCCACTTATTGGGCAACCTTGGGAAATCCTCCCCAACACCGAGCCTCAGTTTCCCTATCTGTAAATAAGGATGTGATGATGATGATAATTTTAGTACCCATCTTATAGAGTTCTTATAAAAATGAGATGACAGTAATAATTCTTTCATCCCATAGAACACAGTAGGTGTTCAAAATGTTTGCATTTATCACTAGGTTGCAAAACAGCAGGCTTTGCTCCTCACTGTCCTCAAAGGGAGTTTATATGAAACAAGCATTAAAGAATTATTGGAATCACTGGTAGGAACTTCAGAGCCCATTGTCTTAACCCATACTTCCAGATGCCAGAACAAGGAGATGGGATTAGAGTCCTAGGACTTGCCTCCAAGATGGGTAATATGTGGCTCAGATGCTACTACCCCCAAGAGTTATAAATTGGCTACAAACAAGTGTGCTTAGCCTGGCCCAATTTTTTGTTTCAATTTGATTTAGTTGACAAGATAGAAGAGCTTACAGCTCATCTGTAAAAAGAGAGTCTACATTTACAAATCTAAACCCTCAAGTTTTCTTTCAAAATATTTCATAAGCCATGACAACACTGAGTCAGCATTCCTACGTGCCAGGAGTCTGGTAGAACTTAGTAGCTGCTGTTCCTTTAGATGGGGCATGCATTCTCCACCCACCACAGACTCTTCCCGGTGGATCTTTTCCATCTAAGTTACTACCTGGTCTTTGCAGTTATTTTATTTTGCCATCCCTGGACTAGAGTTTAAAAATCAGTCTAACGGCAAACACTTCAGAGGTAGGGCTAAACTGGAAGGGGACGAAGGGACTTGCACATGTTCCCAAATTTCTGGGATATTAGCACACTTTCCTCATTCATTTATCACCATCATAATTGCTCTTACCACTACCATCAGGGACAACTTCAAATTTAAGGCAAAGCAAATTAGTTCCAATCTTGGTCCCAATATTCACTGTCAGCCCCCAGGAGTCAGGAAACACATCTAAGATATGCTTCTGAGATTTTGATGATCCAACTAAGTTTACTAGTCCTGCACCAAGAGAACAACTAAACATGGCTGACCAACAGGCAGACCTCCCAACCCCAGAGCATCTACATACACACTGCATGTGTAAATGTGGCCACATGGTAGGAGCCTACACAATGAATAGACATGGTTCAAAATCATACTGTTCTTCTTCTTCTCTCTCTCTCTCTCTCTCTCTTTTTTTTTTTTTGCTAGTTTTATTCTGTTCAATTGATTACCACCAACAACCTTTTACACCAGTCAGTAATGGCACTTGACTTCACATTAGCGTGTCCAGCTCTAACTCGGATCTCAGTGATGTACTTCATGGGTTTCACTGCTATGTTGCCAGAATTACTGCCAACATCATTATTCTTCTTTTTTAACCAGCTAGCACTACTTATTTTTCACAGATGACTACAATCTGAATTCAAATGTTAAAGCAAATGCCTAGTCTGCCTTCAGAATGCACCACGGAGAGCTGAGCTAATGGTTATAACTTAAAAGATTTGACACTTCCCACTGGTTCTCACTTCATCTGGCAAAATTCTGCAAGCTCGGTGATGAGGCTCTATGACACAATGACAAGCCACTTGCCACATCTCTACCACACTGAGGTCTCTGTTTTTCAAGACTGTGAGAGTAAGAGGTAATAATTTCGCAAAGTAGGTTTCCAAAGCTAAGAAAAGGGAGTGAAGCTTTTAGAATTTCATCAAGATCTCTAAGACAAAGGGATGATTCAAGATCCCTCCCTCCCTCTCCAAGAAAATACAAGTATTCTTACCTGATTCAAACAATCAAAAGAAATCCTGCATCCCAGTAAAGCAAGTCCAGAATCTCGCTCCCTTCGCCTTTCAAGTTGCTCAGCCAAGATTTCTCAGCATGTACTGAAACCTACTGAGGAAAGATGTTCACAGTCACGCCCAAGAGAGTAGAGTTCTCATTAGCATACCATTGTGGGCTTGGTGCAGGATGAGATTAAAGTGTACTGATAACAAGAGCCTTCTACGCAAACTCTCCCCTGGGACGGACTGATACTGAGGGAGAAGTTGCAGAAGATCTGCTGGGCTGAAGGTCATTGATTTCAGCCTTTACACACCTACAGCACAAGTTCTGTGCAAGGTCTACAGCCTGGATCACCAAAAAAGAGCACCTGCTTTATTTGCCACTGGTCACTCAACCAGCAATCAAGAGGGACTGATGATGTATGCTGGATATTAGTGTGGGCAATGGCTCACATTGAGCTATGTGTACACCAATTTCAGATGAGAAAAGTGACTTTAACTCTTAGGTTCTTGTGCATTAAAAGAATGCAAAGTTTTAGATGAACTAAGAACGTGAATAATGATATACAACAAGGCAAGAACGCTGTGCAACCATTAAATAATTTAATGACCTAAAAAATTACTATATTAAGTTTAAAAGACATTATAATCCTGTTTTTTAAAGCAGACATTATTTATATATGTGTGGTCATGAAGACTATAAGAAATCACAGCAAAATATTAAGAAGTAATCTGGTGATAAGATTATGGGTGAGTTTTGTTTTCATCTTTTCAATTCTTGGTCCTTTCTGTAAGAGCCATGTGTGTTTTTGTAATGGGGAAGATAAAATGTTTTACCTTCTCCTGAAGAATGTACACTGTATAACAGCATGAAGTTAAACAATGGCCCACAAGAGATAAAGAGAGGAAGAAATAGGCTCATTCACACCTTTTTTCCCCTACTAAATCCAAGCTTTCCAGGAAGCATTTTGAAGAACACATAGGGCACTTCATTCCTTGCAGAGTTAAAAGAGACCAGCCCCCAAAGTCCAATGGAAATATTAGAGATATAAGTGCCTCCCAATACTGCATTTAATAATGTGGCTTAGCTACTTTTCTGCTTCAGAGGGGGAAGCAGATTAAATTATGCTATTAAACCAGTTTGGGTTTTTGTGGGGGTTTTTTGCATGCATTTATGTTAGACTTGTTGGTGTCAAGGAACAGAGGACAAATCCAGCCAACTTAAGCAGTGGAGGAAAGAGAGAGAAGTAAATTCATCGAAGGCAGCACAAGAAGTTGAAGACGCAGGCTCTGGAAGGCCAGAGATCAGGGCAGATCTAGGGGGCAGGAGGGACTGCCATGGAGATGGATGCCCTCCAACTGCTTTAGATCTTCCTGTCGTGCCACTCAGGATTCACTTCCTGAGAGACAGCATCTGACTGGCCCAGCTCAGAGCATAGACATATCCCTTTCCTTGAGGAGATCCTTAAACAGACCTCTCAACAAGACCATCGCCACAGAGGGGAGAGTAATTCTCCAGAATGAAATCAAGGCAGATAAAAACCACAGACACCCATTAGTGACTTGGCATCAGATTTCCGTCTCCTGCCCTTATCCTTTACAGTGGGTCCCCAAACGCACCCGCTGCCCCCTCCAGACCTCTCCACCACTTCCCTCCCCAAGAAAAGGAGCCCTGCCATGCTCATTCACACCAAGACTTAGGAGGCGACCGCAGTCTATTCCGATAAGATCATGAGTAGATCATATATCATTTCCCCCAGACAGCATTTGAAGAACCACCCCTAAATACCAAGGGGTGAGGATCAAGGGACTACCAAGCACTGTGGCAGAGCCAGTGGAGAAGTGATGTTGGGCCAAGGGTACCTGCAGTACCCATTGGAACAGCTGGCTCCTGTAGCTAGGAGTGAGACCACCCGGGGGTGAGGGGAAGATAAAAATCACTGCAAATAGTTGAACTTCTACATCTATTTGATTCTGTCTGAATGGCCCTCAGATAAATCTTGTTTGCTAGGATAAGGATGATTTTGCTACTCTACCCACTACCCCAAGACATGCGCTCATACCCCACCCATTTTACAGATGAGGAAACACACACAGAAGGGTGACATGGCTTCCAGAACAGGAAAGGATGGTTAAAAGTGAGCATGATTGAGCAATACTTATTGCAGGATATGAGCCCAAGTTTCCAGATTCCTAGACAAGAGCTCTTGCCTCTCACCAAATTCTTCCTGTGTCGCCTTGACCAGGGCTCTGGCATCACAGCCTCTGGGGATAAGCAAGTCCAAGTGGTCCCTCCTCATTAGCAGATGTTGAAGCAAATGATGTCCCTCTGTCTCTGAACACCCTATCCCAGAGGGAGAAACT